TTTCCGTATTTACGGACCAAATTTTTTGCCACGGTACGGTACGGGAAAAATACGGCCGTATACGGAATACGGACGGTACCTTTAGGTCACGTGCTCTCAAGCACTCATCTGCAACAAAGACACTGTGCAAAGTATTTATTTTGCATGTATCAAAGTTTTCAAGTGTTTAATACTTACTAGTAAGTGCTATAGTGACCAAGAACCATGAATAAGAGTCACAATATGCACGTGTGATAGTATGTGACAGGAAGTGACCAGCGTAACACACGTCTAGGACACCCCAAGTGATAGTAGAATTATTCAGGAGTGTTTATTTAGTAATATTCAAGCAATTTTAACCCTATTGAAATGCTCTGTGTAGTAGGAGAGCTCCATAAATCACACATTCCCTGTAAGTACCGTATACGCCGTATTACGCCGTAACGGTACGGTTAAATACAGGACTCCTGAAGGGCTTACGGTACGGTACGGTTGGACACCGTACCGTCCGTACACCGTATGGTACGGATACGGTGAAGAGCCCTAATGCGTATAATAATTGTCTGAAAGCTATCAGAAAGCTGGCAGGGCATGATAATCCATGACAACATTGATATAATATAACGAGGAGATGGTCATACAATGTCATTTACGCAAAATATAGTTTACCCAGTTGCCATTCATTGCCATCTCTCATAAATGTGGAACGAAATTGGCAATGCAATGGAATTTGAGGCTAATAGCAACATTCATTGTAATGCGATCTCTTTATTTTCTGCGTCTGATAATACATTATATTGTATGCAAATAAGACAACATAAATATCCTGGGCGCCATACGTTGGCATACAGTAAGTTGCATTGAAAACGTTAGTCCGAGATTCTGACGACCTTGTTTATGTATGTTTGCTTGGACCAGCTGGCAATACATTTACTGTATTATCATTTGCGCCACTTACAAGTTTCAATTAGGCCGAGCTGCCGTTGTAAGTGGCGCGAATGATAATACAGTAAATGTATTGAAGCACACACACATAAACAAGGTTGTCAGAATCTTCGACTAATAGTAACATTTTCAATGCAACTTACTGTACTTTCCACGATTTACTGATGTTGTAGGCTATGTAGGCAATCACCGTTCGAGGTAAACATATAGAGTTCTCGGATTTGGGAAAACAACCAGCCCTCATTGAACTCCTACCATGCATTTGGAAAGTTATTCCTGTTGTTGCTGTTGGTGATGATGACCGGAGGAGTGTTGAATCGGTAAGTAGAAGGCGCATCCCTTGTTCTCTTTAACTCGAGTGGTATTATGAATATCGTGGTTATTGAGAAACATGTGTGCCTACACTATTACGGACATGTATGGTTTCATTAATTGGCATGCCAAAGGTGATGTTAATGTGCCCACTGCTCTTCGGTGCTTAAGTGCGAACTTTGAAGTACCTAAAGCAATCCTACAGGCCAGATAGGCATCAAGAGAATCCCAGGATGGCGGAAACAATGGGGTTTCCAGGCTAGCCTGGCTAGGAAATGAGAGTCTTCGTGGCCTGAGCAAAGGAGACTGATGTAAGAGTCAGTAAGACCAGTAGAAAAGCAGGGAGAGGTTTGGTAGGGTTGAATGCAAGATACCCAGTTGAGATCAAGCATAATTCGGCGAATTTCCTGAAAGAAAAAAACAGTAGAGAAAAACACCACCTGGACATTCATGGATTCGAAGGCGGGGAATCGAACCCCAAGCTGCTGTGCAGAGATTCAGCTCGTTTAAGCATCTTCCTCATTTCATCTCTTCCTTTTTGCCTTCAACATTAAATTCAAAACATATACTTATCCGTTATTCACTGGCACCTATCTGCTGCAGAATGTACTGAAGTCATTGCAATAGAAGTATGTGGCTTGAATGGAAGGTTTGGCCTCGTTTGACAATGGTCTGCAGCGTGCATGGAAGTTTTACTTGCCATAGCCTCAAGTGCGTGTTCTTATTCCACATTACGATTCTAGGAGCGAATTCACTAACGTTACGTTTTGTTTCAGCTAAATCCTCCATATTACTCATCCTCGATTTGCTTGCGCTTGATCAAGATACAACGATACCAGCCGCGTTTGCAACTTCATCTCTATCCATGTCTACACTCTGGAGAAGGTGGATCGGTCTCAGGTTTCAGTCCTGTCCAATCTATCTGGTCAAGCTTGGTTAAGCGGCTCCTGCAAAAACAACTCAAAGAAAGTGAAAAGAGCGACTGGCTTGCAGCTGCAGGTGCACCAGGTGCGCATTGTCCTGTCATTCTGGGTCTATTCTCAGATTCGCTGATGCATTCTCTTCGTTTTCATACAGTCTAGGATTCCTTGAAGATGGCTATGTATCACGGCCCATCCACCAAGTATCGTCTTGGAAGAACGACGCCACTATTCTCTATCATCCATCCGCCTGCTTGTACTCTTGTTACAAGCGATCTTGGGCATTACTGTTTGCGGAATCTGGAATCTGGACGAGGGGAGATACTGGTGACGATGAGGATGACATCTTGACGTCAAACGCTGCTGCTCAGACTCTGTGCTCAGTGCGGCTGGTTGTGGGACACTTCAAACTCTCGATTCATTGTGGAGACAATGCCTTCACCCAATCCTAGGGCGGCCCGATGGAGATATCGATGACGACGTAAGAGTCCGTTCGGCAACAAGAAGCCAGCTTCTGGCAGGCATTAATTACTTAATATAGAAATTAAATTTTTCCTCTTGCACTTGTACAATCTCGTCGCTCTTTGCTTATTTTTGCGTGCTCGCTCATGGGACCTGGCCCAGCTTCTCCGGAGTCTGCTACTGAGGGTCAAACGGCTTAGAATACGCCCGGAACCGCGTCAGAACCACGAAATAATGGTGTAAAATTGACTCTCACCCATCGCGCAGCGGGCGCTATTGCAAACTGATGGATGACATAACGCCTACATATGGAAATAAATTTTGCCAGAAGCCAGATCAGAAGCTGGCTTCTTGTTGCCGAACAGACCCTAAAGAGTCAGAGAGAGAGTGCGTGTTACTGGCTCCTCCCAATTGCTCTGGCGTTTAGGACCATCTCGTTCCAGTATCGCAAATCTTCTGTCTATCATTCTGGTGAAACATCCACTCGATTCGCGAATACTTTCAGTGGGGTTATCTCATGTCTTTCGCAGCCGAATCCACACTTACGGACTCGGATGGAGTTGAGATGGCGCACATCCCGTTCCCCAGATATGAACGGTCTCTACCGCGCCTTATCCCAGATCCAGACCTCCAGGCTATTCCGCTCACTCCTCGTGTTCCTCTTTCCTGTTTGGCCAAAAGCACCATGCGTCATCCTGCAAGTTATCACCGACTTTTTACTTCTCCTCAATTTGGGCTTGAAATCGAAATGCGCGTTCCGAATCTAAGTATTCCACTGGCGCTCACTTGCACTTTGCAGCAGCGTGCATGGAAAGTTTTACTTGCCATAGCCGCAGGTGCGTGTTACATATTTGTTGTTCATTGGTATCCATATGGCTCACTCTCTATCACAGGCTCGTAATCTCTCGTCTAGAGGTTATTCTTGTCGGCGACGGTTCTCGATACAAAGCTTCCGCTTCCTGGGACTGGGACGACGGTTCACAGTACCCTTTCTCTGGTGGCGGTATTGAATGATTCATTCAGTTTCTTGTCTCGAATCTTCGGTACTGAAGCCACGGCGAGCTCGTCTGCACATCACATTCCTTACTACCGCAGCCTTAGCCGTCTGAGGTCGACTTGAGAGTCGGGGGAAAAGAAAATGGAGCGCAGACGCTGGATGCTGGAGAAGCGGAGCATGGTGGGCTGCATGTGCGTGTTCTTATTCCGCTTCAGCAGCTTGACTAACGCTTCCTATGTTATAGTTTTCCCTCCACTGCTCAATTCTCTCTCCGCCTTCCTATTCCTCCTCCGTCCGCCTGCTTGTTGGCGGATCTCGGTGTCGATGTTGGTCTTGATCTCGGGTTTCAGTCCTGTCTGAGCACAAGGGAAGAAAGCAACTGGCTTGCAGCCAGGTGCGGGGCATGCTGATCGATGATGATGACGATGTCATCTCGACGTCTAACGCTGCTTCTCAGACTCTGCATTCAGCAGTGGTGGTGGTCGTGGCGACGTACGAGTCGGAGACTTTTCAAGGGTAGGCTGAAAGGAGATTCACGGCGGAGACGCATCGACACTTTCACTGACCCATCCCATTAGCCAATGGAGATATCAATGTCGGGCAGAGAGCATTCCCCTGTTCCTAGGCATAATGAGTTTGGCCTAATCTTGGAATTCTCCTTGGTGCTTGTCCGGGCTCGCTCGCTGGCCTCCGACGCAATCCTGCACACGACTCGGATAATCATGCCCATTCGGAACTCTCATCACCTTGTGGCGTAAGATGATCACTGTTGCTGCAGTGCCAGAGATAGTTCTGGCGAGGCACAGGCTTTGAAAAATCAAAACATTATCTTCCACGGGATTGTTGCATTTATTGCCGAGATGCATGACGCACGTACATAGCCTATGGCTAATGCTAGTCAACATCGAGGTGGATGCCTCGGGTCTTGGAAGATAAGATTCAACGACCAACCGCGGGATGCTCCCTATATCGTCGACACCTACATAGCGCCGACTTCTCTAACACAGCTCTGGAGCTCAGTGCCTTGTGAGCGTTCTACTGCAGATAAGATTTATTGCTTTCTTTCGTTTTACATTTCGGACTCGCGTAGCTAACACATGCGGTATTACACGCTTTCTATAGAGACAATCGCTTCGCGGTTTTATTTTGCCTAACTTTTCTGGAATGGCCAAGTATATCGGAAAGCCGAGATGGTGGCGCGCATTAGGCACGCATACAAAAAGACTTTGTCAGCGCAAAGACACTTCGCAAAGATTATACTTATTTCTCGGAGTGGTTAGCGGTATGCTGGCAATAGAATATCGAACGTACCTTCCTCATATAGCATTCGGATGCGTAGCTAAAATATCTCTAATCTATCTGGATTACAAACGAGCATTGTCATGGTCACTTTGCCGGAGTGGTTAACGGGATCGCCTGCTAAAAACTTACGTAATCATTGCGTACGTAAGCATCCAGCGGTTGGGCTTTGCCCGCGTGTGTTCGAATCGCACAGGTGACGATCTTTTTCTTTGCGGTGTGTCACCTATTTTTTTTTTCATTAATGTTGAAAATGTAGTGTTCACGTTTGTCATATACTGCACATGATGTTCCTCATACGTGCGTTGAGCTTAACATATGAATTGAGACAGAGAGTAGGCTGCGAAGAGTCATCCGTTTCCAATCCTGGCAAGGATTGGTTGGATAGACCCCTGAATAGTCGTGCTACAGCTTGAAAAGCTTGACGTATCCAGAGGAGGTCTAGATGAAAATCCGCATTACCATCCCGGTATGACGGCCGTGAATATATTAACATGGTTATTAACATTGAGAGCCTTGAGGGCTGAAGTTAATAACCGCTTAGACGGCCTCGTTGCCTTCTGTGCCCATGGTAGCGCCCGTTTTGCAGTGTTGTATTGTAAGTTAGGGAATGGTTTGTGTACGCTGGGAGCTGGGGGAGGCTGGGAATGAATAAGCAGAGGCGGTAAATAGCGTGAAAGGTGTGGCTGGAACAACGACCAGAGTGAGGTGTAGGTGGACTCAGTCCAGTTGGAGGTCAGGTGGGAGATTAAAATTCACCGTAGCAAGAATATGAGTTAAAATTGATACAACTGTAACTATGGTGGCAGTTTTCACAAAGTATCAGACTGTGACTGCATTTCGGACTCGCGATCTGGACTTGGTATGATGCTATTTTTCATCAAATATTTTGACTTCTGACTGATTTTTTTTGATGGCAATTGGATACATTCAGTTTGTCAACTTCAACTTTGTGTACTGTACTGTTTTGACCGAGTGTTCATGGGGTGTGACAGGTGACCGACCCTGTTCAGAAATCCAAGTGTTCACACATTGCAGTGACCTGTGACCTAGCTGTGAACTGTTCACTAGGGGCTGACTATCTGTACTTGTATTTCCATATATTACATTATATTCTTCATGTTGCCTTATTTAAACTATTTGCAGCTTGTTTGGAAGTAGAATGTGAAAAAATTTGAGGTTTTTAAGTATTTTTTCTCAATTTTGAATGAATTCTTTTTTTTTTGTTTTGGTTGTCACAGTGTTCACAACCTTAGGTGACCACAGCCTGCTGTGAACTGTTCATTTTGGACCAAAGTGATGCATGACTGAACACTTGGTCAAAACGGTACAGTACTGTACATAGATGTAGGGAGGCAACCATGAGTCTGACCGTGACAGGTTTTTTTGACTCCAGGTTAGCAACCTGAGCTTGGATGGCTGTGACAGTTGAGAAATTAGGCAACCAATACTACCTTTACTCATCCATATAGACTGGTCTTCTACCTATACTATTGTATTTTTCTTCCAGATCATGTTTTGGGAGCTCTAAAACAAGAATGCAGCTCTTGGGAATTTTTTGGGGAATTTTACCCAATTTTAACTGATTTTGTCACGGTTTTTGCACAAGCAACCACCTCAAAAATGACCGTGATGTCACGGCAAATAGGCAACGCAACCAGGCAATCGTGACCGTGACCGTTGCCTCCCTACATCTATGTACAGTATACTAACTTCAACTTTATGTATACTGTTCTAGTGCAAGTCAAGGGCATTCCAACTTTGAGATCATAAAACGTATCTATTTCCCAACAAGTTTGACTTCTGTGGGGCCCATGAAATAAGTCCTGTATTGTTTCAAGCACTTTGTAAATGGTATTAAGAATTGTAAGCGCCCCCCTAGTGCATGGTTAAATGGCCTTATATAGTAATTTCTGACAGCTTTGACCTCTGTAGAATATCCAAAATCAACCAAGATCTCAAAAATTCTGTGACATTTTTGTATGATTTCAGTCTTGTACTTATGAAGTACTCAAAATGGGGCCTATAGCTTTTAGCGTAACCCCAAAGTAACCATTACTTTAGGTTACTTTAGGTTACTTTTGGGTTACTTTTGGATCACTTTTGGTTACGCTGGGGTGACATATTTAAAGTAACCCTATATTTCAATTGTTACAACAAACATAAAAACTGCATGCACCCTCATTATGTTAATCACATCTGGGCTCAGCATCTCAAGCCATGCTAGGGAATGTGCCTAAAGTAACTTAAGCTTTCAGTACTTACCCATGATATAGAAACTCCAGGTCCACAAGATTGTCCATACACCAATACAGAAATACCAACTGCCATCCCATAGCAAAAAAGCAAGGCAATCAAGCTTTAGGTAGATACTATCAGCC